TTCTCTGTGGCCGGCATTTCCTCCGTGTGAATGTTGCCTCTCTGGTGCCCCATGGTTATTGCTTCAAGGGATGCATTTCCACAGAGAATGTGGGTGCATCACCCTGGGTTGAGTGGTCTGTGCGTATGTACATCTTGTTTACTGTTGGGCTGAGAGCCAGCCCCTAGGAGTTTCATTCCAGGCCCAGAATGTATCCCAGGGCCATAATATTGGGGGTCTCACCAGACTCCATCCAACCAGTAATTCTGGTCATTATCGAGTTGTTGGATTTTGTTCCCCATTTTTCCTCCCACTCTATCCAGGCTCTCCAGATTTCACTTTATGCTTGTGTTCATTTTGTTATACAGACCGGAGCAATCTACTTCCGTAGTGATAGTGCCTCGGAAACCCAAGGAGGGGTCGCTATGAGTCGGGTCCGACTCCACAGCACATAACAACAACATTCCAATCACTGTAGCATTTTAGAAGCATCTCTTACTTCTAAGGTCATGTTTCATGATAAAGTATTTTATTCACATTTTCTCCACACAGATCTTTGATATCGCTCAAGTCACTTTTCGAGTCAGGTAACACACTTGTCTAGGGCATATAATTTTAATTTACATGCTATGTGAGGCCTGGTGGAACCGTGGTTAAGTGCTCAGCTGCTTATGCAAAGGTTTGAACCCATACCAGCCGCTCTGCGGGTGAAAACTGTGGCAGTCCATGAAGATTACAAAAACCAAAAACCAAACCCACCGCTATCAAGTCAATTCCAATTCATAGCGTCCCTAGAGGACAGAGCAGAACTGCCCCACGGGCTTCCAAAGCTGTAAATATTTACGGTAGCAGACTCTCTCATCTTTCTCCTATAGCAGCTGGTGGGTGTAAACCCTGACCTCCTGGTTAGCAGCCCAATGCTTTAACCACAGCATCACCAGAGCTCTTCCCGGGAAGATTACAGTGTTGGAGACCCTGTGGGGCAGTTCCACTCTGTCCTCTAGGGGCGCTGTGGGTCAGAATGGACTCCACAGCAGTGGGTGTGGTTTGGGCTTTGCTTCTGTGAAGATTGACAGCCTTGGAGACCCTGTGGTGCAGTTCCACTCTGTCCTCTAGGGGCGCTGTGAGTCAGCATTGACTCACAGGTAATGGGTGTGGTTTGGGCTTTGCTTCCTTAAGGATTGACAGCCTTGGAAGCCCTGTGGTGCAGTTCCATGCTGTCCTCTAGGGGCGCTGTGGGTCAGAATGGACTCCACGGCAGTGCGTTTGGGTTGGTCGTTTTTTGTTGGTTTGACAACGTTCCTGCTGTGTTGAGACATTTCGGTGCGGTTGTTTCAGTCTTGATCCATCAAGTGTTCAAGACACTGACGCTGGGTTCTCTGTCCCCAGGAACCCTCCTTGTGGACCCTGTGACCCCAGAAGAGACGCAAGCCCGGTGCCTGAGCAGGCCCACCAAACCCTCGTGAGTGGCCCCAGCCCCCTGCCCTCAGCTCTCTCCACTGCTGATGGCAGTGACCCTGACGTCGGAGGTCCCTGCCCGTTCACTGTCGCCCCAGGAAGCAGCACCTGCGACAGGTCATTGCAGAGTACGAGGCCCTGGACCGCGAGCTCCCGTGCATCCGGAAGTTCCCCACGCCGCCCGCCGCCCAGCCCCTGTGCCTCTGCATGGAGACCTTGGTGAGGGCCCCTGGACCCCGTGTGTGCAGTGTGGATGGGGTGGGGCAGAGAGCCCAGGGGCAGAGCCAGGTGCATGGCATCAGAGGCCAGTTCGGCAGCTCCCCCGCCGTGGGCCTGGTACTGGGACGGTTGTCTAGAAAATGATCGTGAGTTTGTCAAAGGGTCAAATGTCAAGTTTATCACTGTTGATCTCAGAGGCGGGGAGGGGGGAGACCCAAGGGCAGACATAGTGGAGACTGAGGGGGCAGAGAGAAGGGGAAGATTGAGAGGCAGGTTGGGGGGACTGAGGGACAGAGAGAAGGGGACTGAGGGGCAGACAGGGGGCGTTCTGCTGATCTAATGAGATTCTACAAAGTTGACCAATATCACAAAAGCTCACATATAGAAGAGCCAATGTTTATGTAGGAACTCGGGTAGCATAGTGCCTAAGGCACTTGACTGCTAACCAGAAGGCCGGCGGTTCAAACCCACCAGGTACTCCTCAGAAGGAAGGTTGGGCAATCTACTTCCATAGTAAGGGAAGGGGAGGGGTCGCTATGAGTCGGGTCCAACTCGACGGCACATAACAACAACGTTTATGTCATAGTCAGGGAACTCTGGCCGTCCTTGGCGTCAGAGGAGGTGAGACAGGGTCTCTCACTGGAAACTGGATGGGAGGCAGGGTTGAATGAGAAGAGCTGACCGTGCCCTAATCAGCTGCTAACCGAAAGGCTGGAGGTTGGAGTGTGCCCAGAGGCACCTCAGAAGAGAGGCCTGGCAATCTGCTTCCCCAAAACCAGTCATTGAAAACCCTACGGGTGGCAGTTCTCCGCTGACACACGGGGGGCGCCCTGAGTTGTTTCTAAAGCTGTGTGCCAGGCAGCAGCCTCACAGGCGCCATCTTGACTACTCTGCGAGCCTTCACCCCAGCACAGGGCGCGCTTTCCCTGCCCATCCTCCTCCTCTCTGGGGCTTTGGGAAAGGATTTACCTCCCCTTCCCATCCACCCCAGGCTTGCAGGATTTCATTTTTCCTTCCTTTGCCATACTGTGTTTAGTTTTATAGGCTATTGTATTAAAATGTATATTTTAAACATAAATCATATACTTTATTTTATATGCTGACAATTGTATGTCACCTTTGACATGCTAATCTCTTACTGATGAGGCTAAAAACGATCCACGTATCTTATTTTCTGACCCTTAGCTTCAGACAAACTGCACATTCCTTAAACTGTAACATGGGTGGGAGGGAACGTGGGGAAGTGAGTATCTCACAGAAGTCTACCTTGGAGAGTCGTTACAAGCTTGCCGTCTGCACTGGCTACTGGAAAAGCTTGCAGGGCAGGCCGATCATTGCGCTCACCGGTCAGAAGGCCAGTCAGCCGGGTGAGAAGCGGTTGGAAAATGACCTAGCAGAGGCCCTCTGCCTGAGAGGTCCTGGCCCCCAGCTCCACAGAGGGACAGGACCCTGGGATCGTGTGAGGTCCCTGTACCTCAGTGCACCAGGGACTAGGGCACTTTCTGCGGGTGGCGTTCAGGAGGGGGACTTCTGCAGCTGGTGCACACCTGGGAGTTAACGGATGTCTCGATTCCTTCCCAGCCCGAGACCGACTTTACCCACCTGGAGGTGCTGGAGGCGCTGGAGGCCGAGTTCCCCGGCGCCATGGAGAGCGGGCGCGTGAGCAGCATCCGCTTTGAGAACATGAATGTCATCTGTGGGACTGCTGGGCGCCGGGACCGGTGAGCTTGTCGCGTGGACCCGGCCGAGAGCGATAGGAGGGGCGGGGCGGCGGCGAGCTTACGACGGGGCGGGGCCGAGAGTGAGCAGAGGGGCGGGGCCTGGAGTATGCTCAGTTAGGAGGCGGGACGAGAGGGCCGGGTGGTGAGGGGGCGGAGCCTGGAGTAAACTCGGCGAGGGGAGGGCGGGGCGAGAAGGCCGGGTGGTGAAGGGGCGGGGCCTGGAGTAAACCCAGTCAGGAGGCGGGGTGAGCGGGACTGGTGGTGAGGGGGCAGGGCCTGGAGCTACGGGGGAGAGCCGAAGGAGCTTGCGGGCAGTGAGGGGCGGAGCAAGAAGTGAGCTGGGGAGGGGGCGGAGCCGAGAACTACTGGGTGGGAGGGGCGGGCGGCGGTGAGCTCAGTCGGTGAGGCGCGGGCTGGAGTGTGGCGATTGGGGGAGTCGTATTGAGAGAGACAAGGGAGGACAGGAAGACAGCAGAGAACAGGGCTAAAGGCGAGAGCGGTGAAGGGACGGGACTGGGAGCAACCGGATGGAGGAGTGGGCAGGGCTAGAGCGAGCACGATTAGGGAGTGGGGCTGAGGAGAAAAGCAGTGAAGGGGCGGGGCCGAGAGTGACTACGGCGGGGAGGCGGGACCAGGTGAGATCAGAGAGAAGGCGGGATCTGTAGTAGGAGCCGGACTAGGAGTGATCCAGATAGGGGCGGAAATGGTCGCAGCCCGGACTGGAAGCTACGAGGGGGAAGAGTCTGGATTGAGCACACTGTAGGGGCCGGGCGGAGATGGGGCCAAACCGAGTGAGGGGGCGGAGCCTAGAATTACCCAAATGAGGGCCCTAGACGACCTGGGAGGGAGGGAAAATTGGTGGGAGAGAGAAAGTTGAAGACAGCGTGCCGAGTGGACGGACCGAAGTCTGCAAGCCAACAGGGACCACCAGCGAATTCCCGCTTCTGTCTCCGCCCCGCCCCTTTCCTCTCCGCCACGCCCCCTCCTTGTAGGTGGCTAATCACGGTCACGGATTTCCAGACTCGCTCGCGCCTGCTGCGCTCGGGGCTCAGTCCCCGCGGGCTCTCGCATCAGCTCGTGCGCCACGACGAGCTCCTGCTGAGCGATTACCGCCTGCACCTGCGCCGCTCTCTGGCCCGACGGCGCATGCTCGAGGCTCTGGGGGCGGAGCCGACCGAGGAAGATTGATGCGCGGGGGTTGGGCCCTGGCGGCGCTTGCGCCCCGCCCCACTGGCTCGGGCAACCCTCCCAGAACCCGGGAAGAGAGGGGGCGTGGCCTCCCCAGGAAGGAGGCGGGGCCGGCTCGAGGGGGTGGATACTGTGAGTTTAATTATAAAGAATGACTTGGTACAAAAGCCATTTCTCTCTGCAAAATCTTGGTGAAGAATCAGGGGGAGGGAGGTGATGGGAGGTAGGAACGAACCCCCATATTATAATACAGCCTCCCTAATCTTCCCCCAGTCCCTGCAACGGACGCCCGGGCCCCGGCCCCGTGAGGCCCAAGAGAGGGAAGACCCGGGCAGCTGGGCATTCCTCAAGTGTCCACCCTTGTCTCAGCGAGAACCAGACGTCTTGACCAGCCGTCCTCTTCCTCCCCCTCCCGCCCCCCTTGGAAGACAATTCTTGGGCTTTTATTTCAGGTTTTTTTCTGGATTTTTTGTATGTTCTAGGGTTTTTTTTTTCTTTCTTTTTTTTAAATATTCTTTTGTTATTGTTCCTTTTTTTGCTGTCTCTTCTCTCTGCCCCCCCATCCAGTCCCTCCCTCCCCCTCCCCACCCTACTTCTCTTCCCCCCTCCCCCCCCACACCCTCCCCCAACCCCGCGGCACCCATCCAAAATGAACAAGCCCTTGATAGACGGGCGCCGCGCAGGCCCCCTGCGGACGGGGGCAGCCAACACAGGGGAGGGGGCGGGCGGGGGCCCAGCGCGACCGCCGCCCCCTGTTGGCCACCCTCCCCCCTCCCGCGACCCTCCCACAAGGTACCCCGCAGATCCCTGACATGGTGAGGGGAGGGGGCTGCAAGACACCCCCTCACCCATGGACGGAGCGCCCCCCCCCATCGGGGGTAGGGGGCAGCAGAAGGAGAATGGGCTTGGGGGGGAGGAGGGGGAGCTCCCTTCTTTGGCAGCTGAACATGGGGGGACCTGAGGGCAAGGCCCTCCCCCCTTTATCCAAGCAGGGGAGGGGGCTTTCCAGGGGGAGGGGTGGCTTAAAATTCCCAAGCCCCAGGAATAAGGGGGAGGAGGGGGGCATGCGGGAGAGGAAGAGCCATGCTGGAGGGAGAAGTGGGGGGGTCTCTTGGAGCCACAGGAAGGTTAGGAAGGTCTTCGTGCAGAGTGGATGGACAGATGGCCGGGGAAGGACCTTGAAGAGTGGAGGTGGGGGGGAGGGGGAGGATGAGCAAGAGGCTGGGAGAGCAGGAAGGAGGCATGGTTTGCAGGAAGCCGCGTGCATAGGGTCTTCTCTCGCCAGGAAGAGCAGAGCGCAAGGACATAAGAGATTAAGAGTAGGGACGCTCCAAAGAGTCCCCTTTTCCAGGCGGGAGAAAACGATAGACCAGAGAGGGTAAGAGGGGACAGAGTGTGCAACAGCGAAGAGGGGTGGAGAGGGTGGAGTTCTCCAAAGGGAGGTGCGCCAAGCAGAAAGACATGAGAGTACAGCCAAGTCAGGAAAGGAAGCGGAAGTGCCGGCTGGATGCGTGTGCAAGAGCGTGCGTGCAAGAGGGTTCACTAAGGAGTCAAGCGTGAGGATGGAGAGAAAGAAGGGTGCGGGTGCGAGGGAGGGAGCGCCTGGCAGAGAGGAAAGAGAATCTGAGAGAAAGGGCTGCTGGGAGGCAGGTGTGCAAGGGCCGTGACTCAAAGTGACAGTGCAAAGACGGAAGGAGGCCCAGGTGTGACTGTGGGGGGGGAAGAGTAAGAATTTAGGGGTCACAGAACAAGAAGGGAGACAGCGAAGGTGTCACTGCAGGGAAATGGAAGTACACAGGAGTGTTGGGACAGGTTCCACAAGAGCACGTGTGCACGGGGCTGAACGAAGAGGACGCCACGGAGACCGCGTGTGCACGAGAGTGCGTGAGGGAGGGAGGGAAAGGGTACCCCAAGTGTGTCTGCAGCAAGGGTCCAGAGAGTTCAAGAGGTGGAGTGTGTAAGGGACAGGGCGTGAGAGCCAGAGCACAGGGCGTGGAGTGCGTGAGGACAAACGCCACATGTGAGACAAGCACAGCATGGCGTCTGAGGACCCAGCGGCCCTCGTGTGAGCCAGAGGTGAAGGCAGGCGTGTGCAAGACGGCGAGAGGGTGAATCTGTGCAAAACTGCAGCCCAAGGAGGGGAGAGGCAGGGAGAAAGGTGGACAGGCGTGCAAAGGAGCGTGCAAGAGGCTGGGGGCAGCTGTGTGTGCTGAGGAGAGGGGAAGGGGGTGGAGCTGAGGGGCCTGGTGGGCGGGGAAGGGTTGTTAGAGGGACGGCAGGTGGTGGAATCTGAGAGACCCCCCTCCCCTGCGGCTTGGGGGACGGCCCCCATCCCATCAGGCTCAGGGTTGACCCTCTATGGCTCTGTCTGTCCCCTCCCCCCAAAAAAACTTGACCCTTCCTCCTTCTCAGTCCGTCCCCCCTCCACTCCCCACTTCTCACACACACACACACACACACACACACACGCATACGCATACGCACACGCACACGCGCACACACACAGTCATGTGTCAGCTGCCCCCTCCTTTGAGGTGCAAATGTCCAGCCGGACCGGCCACCTGGTGACCTCCAGCCTTGGGGAACCAGGGCAGGGCGCAGTTCTAGCAGAGCCCCTGGCCCGGGGCAGGGAGGGTGATGGTCAGGGGTCAGAGGTCAAGAGGCCAGCAGGTTCTGTGGATGGGCTGGTCCGCCCAGGCCAGCCATCACCTCTCCAGGAAAAACTTGAGAGCCCGGTCAATGTTCATTCGGTGGCCCACCCTGGTCACACCCAGATCCACGTAGTCCTCCTTGGTCAAGGCGGGCAGGTGGGAGCCATCGATCTCATGGTCTAGGAACTGGGCTCGGTGCTCGGCCAAGCCCAGCCACTCCAGCCAATCGGCCACGTCGAACTTGGTCCAGAAGCCCAGGGGTTTGGCGCCAAATGGCTTGTCCGGGGGCAGCGAAAGCAGGCGGGTCGGTGAGAGGGAGCGGGAGGCCCCCGACAAGGCTCCCCCAAGGCCCCCAGACATCCCTGGGTGAGGTGGCACGAAGACGGGGGCGAAGGGGTCAGCCGAGCCCCCTGCCCCTCCAGTGGGAGAGCCACGGATGTCGAAGAGGCCTGGGTACAGGGGTCCGGAGGGCAGGATGGGCAGGGACGAGGGTCGTGGAGCAGGGCTGACCTTGTGCTCCGAGGCGGGCAGCAGTGAGGGGCTGGGCGCCCGGCGGAGCAGAGGGGGCCGCATCTCGAAATCCACGCCCTGGAGGTGGCGGGTGGACGTGGAGGAGGAGGCCGAGGGTGAGGTGGCGCCGGGGGCCGCCGCAGCAGAAGGAGGGACCCCTGTTCCCGTGGGGAGTGATGGCAGAGGTGGCTTGGGCCAGTTCTGAAACAGGCTGCTGACTGGTTTGGAGAGAAGTGAAGACTGGGAATCTTCTGAGAGTCTGGAAAGTGACAAGCAGGCGGGAGTGGAGGGGAAAGGGGGTTTGGGGGGCAGGGGTGGGAGTGGGAAAGAAGCAGACGTCAAGATACAGGGGGGCGAGGAAGCAAGACGTAGGGGTGGGGTTAGAGAGATGGAGGGCAGAGATGAGAAGAGATGGCAGGAGCGAGGGGGTAAGAACGATGTCAGAACAGAAGTAAAAGGACAGAAAGATGAAATGAGGGAGCGGTGACAGTCAAAAGAGATGAAAGAAAAAGAGACATTAAGTGAAAATAATAATAATACCCACCACTTACTGATGCTCACGTGTGCCAGGCATTGTTCTAAGTGCTTGACATATCGAATCGCAATTTAAGCCCCACCCCCACCCCCACGACAGCCCTGGTACGGGTTACTCTGATTATCAGCACAGAGACTTTAAGTAACTTGCCTAAGGACACACAGCCAGGATGTGGCAGAGCCCGGTTACATGGCACCAAAGTCCGAGCTCTTAACCACTACTCTTAACTGCCTTTTGGGTTATGGCCAGTCAAGCAGAGTGAAAGACGGGGAGACAGTGAGAGAGGAACAAAAAGAGGGGAAGTGTCCAGGGGAGAGAGATGGAAGGGGCCAGGGAACAGAGAGAGAGAGAGAGAGAGAGAGAGAGAGAGAGAGGAGAAGAGGGAGGTGAAAGAGAGAACAAGGGGAAGAAAAGGTTCCCCTCATCCTTTAGCTCCTGCAAGCACAGTCCCACCTCAGGGTCTTTGCACCTTGCCCCTCTCCTCCTCCAGGCTCTGCTCAGGTTGCCTGTTACTTAGCGATCTTCTCTAACCATCCATTATTCTATATTTCCCCCCCTAGAATGGATACCTTATTTTTTTTTTTTATTGCCTGCCCTCCCCATTCACCACCACCCCACAACATGAACTCTAGGAATGAAGGGAAGGCTTCTCTTGACCACTGCTGTGGGGTCTCCATCACCAGAGGGCACGTCACCCATACTAGGTGATAAATGAGTAAGCAGTGACTCTATTGACCAACTTAAGCATCCTCTTCTCTACCCAGAACACTTAGGAATAATCAGTGAGTTGCATTAAGGTCTCAGAGGCCTGATAAAAAAAGAAAAAAAAAAAAAGTTCTAAAATCCACCATAAAGTTATTAGACCCTGAAATAGAATGAGTGAGCTCTGTGCAGATGAGCAAGGGGAATTAAAAACCTCGCCCCACCTTCTCTGTGTGTCTGACTCAAGAATAAGACTAGGGGATCTTAAGTGGCTGGGAACTTTATTGGTGGTGGTCCAAGCTAGCTGCATCAGGAAACAACAGCATCATCCCGTATTTCCCCATTTATACACGTCCGGGCTGTTGTAACAGGCCCTTCCCCTCAGCATCCCATGTCCTGACAATGCCCCATCTTTATGTCCCTTGACAACCCCATTAGGTTGGTACTGTGCTCTCTCCCTCCAGTAGAGAGGTAGGTTCTTCTACCCAAGGTCAACCAGGTAGGGAGTACGGAGTTGAGACTGGAACCCAAACCCACACTTGTAACTACGGTACCCTAAAGTGCCTGGTCTTTAACCAGACTGAGTTCAAAGGACTGGCGTATTTCAAGAACTGTCGTCAGACAGAACCGACAAGCCCGCCAAGGAAACAGCCACCGGTGAGTTTCGCTCCAGTCTCCTTGGTTCAGGACTCTTTTTGTCCATCATAGGATTGGGGGTTGTCATGGTAATGGGAGGCAGCCACAGAGCTGATGGAAATAACCAAAAGCAAAACCAAACCCAGGCCCATTAAGTCAATTACAACGCACAGCGCCCCTAGAGGACAGAGTGGAACTGCCCCATTGGGTGTCTAAGGCCATCAATCTTCAAAGCAATAAAGCCCAAACCACACCCACTGCCGTGGAGTCCATTCCTACCCACAGCGCCCCTAGAGGACAGAGTGGAACTGCACCACAGGGTCTCCAAGGCTGTCAGTCTTCACAGACGCAAAGCCCAAACCGCACCCACTGCCGTGGATTCCATTCCGACTCACGGCGCCCCTAGAGGACAGAGTGGAACTGCTCCCTAGGGTTTCCAAGGCTGTCAGTCTTTAAGGATCTTTCTCCTGGGGAGTAGCTGGTACGTTCAAACTGCAGACCTTTTGGTCAGCAGCCCAAGGCTTTAAGCACTGTCCCACCAGGGTCCCTCCACTGAGAGAAAAGAAAGTTTAAAGCATTTGTGAAAGAAGCATGTTCCTTTTGGGAAAACTTCCAGAAGCCAACCTGGTTTCAGCTTCCTTTCCAAGACCCTGCAGGGACACCGCTGTGGGGAAGATCTGCCCCTCTGCTCTCCGCTGCCAGGCCGTCGCCGGCCCCTGCTCACCTCTGCCGCTGCAGGGAGGACGTCCTCTCGGGGACGTAGCTTGGTCCCCCGTGGTGGCTGTCCGTGCTTCCCCCGCTGCCTCCTCGCGCCCAGGGCAGAGGGCCACCGGCTGCCGCGGAGCCCCCAAACTGCTGGAGCTTGGAGCTCAGTTCATTGATGATGCTGGCTTTGACTGTCGCCAAGGCTGAGGCTTGAGGCGGGGCCAGGGGCCCAGGCAGGGGCGGTGGCGGGGGGCCTGGCCCTTCCTCCCAAGGCAGCAGCTTGCGAGGCAGGGACGAGGCTGTCGGCAAGGGCAGGGCCGGGCCTTCTGCCTCCACGGCTACCGGCCCCCCGGCCACACCCGACGCCGAGGGTCCGCCACTCAGGGCCAGCAGCCCATCGGTTCCGGCCCCCGTCACTGAGACAGTGGGGCTGGTGGGGGTGACAGGGTCGCGGAGTCCCCCACTGGGGCCAGGTCGCAGGCCTCCGCTGCCCCCGAGGGCCCGTCCCCGCAGCTTAGAGGGGGTCATGAGCTGGGGGGGGTACGGCGGGCCGGCGGGCCCACCGCCCCCGAAGGCCTGGCCGTCCAGGTAGGCCACGTAGGTGTCCAGAAGCTCGGGCCCGCTGGCCGCGCCGGCCCCCCCTCCCGCGCCGGCCCCTGCGCTGCCGCCCCCTTCGGCGGACAGACTGCTGAGCGTGGAAGCGCTACTGATGGTCTCCAGGGGGTGGTCGCTGCTGCTGCGGCTGTCCACCT